CTCTGTGAACAATCCTTCCTGCTGGCGGTTTCGCATTGAATATCTCGGCGGTTTTGTCTTTCGATATTGTTTACTTTCAATACCGGCGTCTTCTGGTTGTGTTCTCCTTAGCGTGTTTACAAAATCTTCTCCGATGCTCATGAGCTTGACTTGCTGCTGTGTTTGTTCCGCGGCTTTGATAGTGTCGACTGCCTTCTGTAACGTAAGATCGTTTAGCCTCAATAAACGTTCTCGGACGTGGTCATCACGAATGCCTAAAACAAGACGATCCCGTAAAATTTCGTCTGGTGTAATCGAGTCATGTGCACAATTTCTGGCGATTGTTCTCAGTTCTGTTAGGTAGGTTGCGATGTTTTCTCCAGGTACCTGGTTTCTATTGTTGAAACGGTATCGTTCATACATTATTTGAGTTCTCTGTGAACAATATTCATCAAATTTTTTAAGTACAATATCAACATCATTTTGATTTTCATCTTCGCCCCAAGTAAAAGTGTCATATGCCTTAACACCGCCCTCGCCGATTGCTCTTAACAAGGTTGATACTCTGACAATACCTTCTTGTTTTTGTACACCTGTTGCAATCTCGTACCGTGTCCATGATTTCTTCCAAGACTCCCATGTAGTTGCCAAGTTATCGTCGAATATAAGCGATTTTGTCGGTGGCAAATTCGATGGCGCTATAAATATTTGTGGCGTCTGGGCCATTTGTGGCGCTTGGACTTCCGCTTGTGGCTCAACCATCGCTTTATTTCGACTCAGAACTCTCCTGACACCATGTAACGTGTTAGTTTATTACGATACAGTTTCTGATTAACAAGAAATCGAGAGAAATAGTCATTTGTTTACAATATATAAAACGCCTAGCTTGTGTTACTTTTCGTACGCCTCGTTCGCCGCGCCTGTCAATCAAATTAATGTTTTCGTCATCGTGACGTCACCTAATAACATCGTGACAGCGACGTTCAAAAGACTTGGATAATATTTAATATATGGTTTTGTTGCGACTTGCGAAGCAAATGGCATTTAAATTCAACTCTTGTATAATGAATAAAAGTTGGTGTAGTAGAAGGACAACTTATACAAAAGATATGAATACTTCAGCTTCAAACTAGGGACAAGTTCATTGACATCCCTAATATATGGACATCGATATTTCAACAATATGTAAATATGATTATTAAATATATAAAAAGATTGCTGTTATATGTATACAAGTCACAAGTGTTGTGTTGTGGTATTTGTGTTTTTAATCCTCTAAGTGGCAATGCAACCAAATGATCCTTGACAATGGTAGTGCATTTTTGTACTTGCTGCATAGTATTACAACCAAGAATTGTTTTCGAGGAAGAGAATGTTAGGGTTTGTAATCCAAGTGATTATACACATTTTACCAGGAACGACTGCGAAAAATGCAGCACAAGGTCCTCTGGTAGGAATTGAACCTACGGCTCTGCGGTTCCGGTGCAGCGCTCTAACGAACCCAGCTACAGAGGCCAGCTGTTGGGCAGTAACCGTAAGTTCATATATATATATATATATATATATATATATATATATATATATATATATATATATATATATATATATATATATATATATATATTTATATATATATATATATTTAACAATTAGTCGCCGAAGGCGAGGTGATTACAACCCTATATTCACTGAGCCGAAGGCGAAGTGAATATTGGCTTGTAATCACCGAGCCTGAGGCGACTAATTGTTTTAGTATAAATTTCCAGGTGTTTACAAACAATAATCCACACAACTTTATAAAAATTCACTTCAAATAAATTTATTTTCGCTATAAATAGTTTGTTTACAAAATTTATATCTCAGACACGGCTCTGTGTCGCGTTGCGACTAAGCCAGTTTTTTTTCCAAATAAAAGCACGTAAAGTTTAATATTTTACCTTGAAATATTTTTAAACCATATTTTGTAGCTTGTTTGGGTTTTTTCGGAATGCTATCTTCTTTAATTTTGGCAATTTCCTCCTCTGTTACTACGGCAAAACGAGCAGCCATTTTGAAAAAAAAGCTATAGTCACTGACCAGTGACTATCACTTCAGAGACAGTGAATCTTGACCAATCAGAATGCAGAAAAATCAATAGTCACCTGGAAATTTATACTAAATATATATATATATATATATATATATATATATATATATATATATATATATATATATATATATATATATATATATATATATATATATGTATATATATATATATATATATATATATATAGGTAATCGGGTGTGCGGGTTGTGTTAAGGTTGACTTGAATGATGTGGTTTCTTGCACTTCACTTGGTGGAATTAATATTGGAATGTTAGGGTTTGTAATCCAAGTGATTATATACATTTTAAAGGTAGAGTACAGTCCCTTCTGCGCATGGGTGGGCTTTGTTTACGTTTTTTGTTTTGATCCACATTAATTATATAAGATGACGTATATGACGAGTTCAAATTAACATTCCACATAATTTGTGACCGAGGAGTGCAATGTTTGACAATATTTCGCTTCATTTCTTGTACATTCCTACACTGGAATTTTTGTACACAATAACACAATCTTATACTGTAACTGTTTAACTGCAAACATCGTGATTGACGTGAATAAAGTTATAAAAAGGCCGCTTTGAACCTTTGTGACTTGCTATATCAACAGCTGGAGAGGCGAACCGAAATCCCGAAGATGTGAGTTCGAATAATTTGTGGTTACCTTTGGAGTTTGTGTCTCATCATGAAAATAGTTAATGCGGTATCAATTCCTCGAAACATGTTGCCACTGTTGTTGTTGTCATTATGACAGAAGCGCTTGGGGAAAGCTTTTCGCTTGACGAAATTCGAAACAAGTGTGATTGAGAATGTGGCTGCAGTTCCTGTCTTCGTAGCAAAGCCAAGGGCGAAAATTTTGACCGTGCAAAAGCTGGATAAACAGCTTTTGTTCAAGCTCGTGCGCGCTATGGAGATGATTTCGTTATAAACAACAGAAGAGTTCAATAGATTGACAGTGACGAGAGTACGAGACGCTAAGATTATATTCAACTTTTTTGTGTTATAAAAATGTATGTTTTGAAATTATGAACTGGAAGTATGAATTCATTGATATTACTCTCATATTGACACTAAATGATGATATTGTTGTGACAATGAACGATCTAATAGTAATATTAACTTCAACAATTCTGCTCAATCTAGTGATCACGTTAGTTGATCATGTCTCTCCAAGACAGAGAACAACTGCTGAATATATGCTTGTTTCGCTCTATATCAGAGCTCATCAGAATGCTCAGGAAACACTGATGAAATTTTTATTTACATCAACGAATCTTTCTTTTTCTTAACAGATTTATTGGGTTATATGAATATATGATAATACAATAATTTATAAACAATTATTATTATTATTATTAGGCATGAATATGACTCAAGAGCTTATGCCCCCCTGAAAATACTGAATATACTAAATATAATTACAGTTTGTCACATGAACAGTCAGGTAAGCACCATTCACATAAGAACCGGTTTAGGCTAACTTGGGAAAAATCTAGGTTCTTATTATATGCAGGGTTTTACTGTGTTGTCTGATTTCATGTCACAAAACAGGCCATGGCATGTTGTTCTGACAATTTATATATATGGGATGGTGCCACTCTTTGTGACACAAGATCAGGCAATCATAGTACAATATGAACTGGCTTGTGTTTCAGATTGCTTTGTGTAGGAGGCAATCCATCTAGGAGAAAGAAAGCTCTGATTTCGAACCCCCAGATCCCACCTTGGACAATACATGTAGTGATTACATGATCATTAGAGCTTGGAAATTAGGTTAAATTCTTAAAGAAAAGCAACTCATTTTTGGTATGCGAGGTATAATTTACATGTATATACATATATATAAATTGTGCACAAATTATCTAACTAATAGCTATGTGTAAAGCTATACTGTAAAGCTGCTAACACTTTATTTATCTCAATGACATTTTCAGTGTTCTGGATCATTTTCACTACTTTGTGAAGAGTTTATTCTCTTTAATTTATATACATTTTTAGATTTGACTGGTCTCCATGTGATAAAATAAGAACCTGAAATACTAGCCTAAACAGATTCTTATATTGGGTGTCTAAATAAAAAAATTAGCCTGACAGGCTCTTATGTTCTTATGTGCAAGCTTTTACTTACAATTAGGGTGGAAAATATACTAGTAATTATTAGTTGAGTTTGTTTACATCATATACGTTCAAAATCTTTTATAAACTAAATGTCTTAGGGGTGTTTATATTGAGGCAACCAAGCCCGGTTACCTGAGCTAGGTGGCTTTGCCTAGCTAATTTCATCATGTAGCAGGCTGGCTCACCAAAACAAATCATCGCGAGAAACTGTCATGCTTATGACCGTCACAATTGTTCACAGAGGCATTAATTTTTAAAATTATAGATCAAAAATCTGTTGAGAAAGTCTTATTTACTACAATTAGTACAATATTATTCGTATTCAGCGGCTTAGGCAAACCAGCCCACCTAGGCGAGATCTGGGGCTCTGTCGGGCTTCACAAATTAAACAAGATCTCGCTTAGGCAAGCCAGCCTGGTTCTCATATACACACAATACGAATATTAGTATAAATTATCTAGCAACATTAGATCTCGGCCAAGCGAGCTAGCTCAGGCACCCGAGCTGGCTTGCCTCCATATAAACACCCCATTAGGTCAAGTACTGTAACTTCAGAGCAACTAAAAGGCATTTAAACTGTTATGTGCTTTGATCAAATTAAAATCTACTTTAACTTTGATCAGAGAAACTTTTTGATGTGTTTCTATTAAGTTTTAAGTGAGCACAAGTTGTCCATGAGCAGACAGTCAAAGACAGTAAAGCACTGCCACAGCCAAGTAGATTATCACTCTGACAAGTGACAATAACACGTCTATATAAACAGCCATCCAAAAGTCCCAAACATGTTCACTCCAAATTGTTCATTATTTTTTCATCGACAACTCACTAGTCTCGAGTATCATATCTTTAGGCCTTTATAATTATATTATGGGTTTCAGTTTGTAAACAAAATAGATAAACAGTTCGTATATATTAACGATAGTGAAATAGTGTAATAAAGAACATTTTATAGTCATTAAAACCTCGATTGATGGGCTTCAACAAGCGATTTCTCTGAAGGATCAACATTGCAGCTATGTTGGGAGCAATCTCCAATCCTTCTTGGATTCTTTTCTTGACAACCTTTGGTAGAAGCTTGAGGATGCAGGTATATCATGGCCATTCATGGGCAGACGCAGAAATGGATGCGCTCTCCATCGAGGAAAACAATAAAATAGATACACTTTGATACACTTTCGAAGCATCCCTGTTAGCGTAGTATCCTTTCCTACTCGTCATGTTGCCTCAATAACTCGTTATTTGACGGACTGTCGCTCAAAAAAGCTCAAAATATTTTGGAAACTTCTTCGCTCCTTGGGCATTAAATTCACTTGCGTTATAAAAACAACGCGCGTGTTATTGCCAGAAATAAGACTGGACCGAGCACAAACAGAGGATGACAACTTCCTGTGTGTCCCCACATAAACAAAAGTCTAACACATGCGCAGATGCGACTGTAACCTACCTTTAA